TTTTTTTTTTTTTTTTTTTTTTTATATCCAGTGACATCAGAAACTGAGATGAAAGCCAGGTACAAGTGGGAGGTGCAATCTGGGGCCCTGGAGTATTCACCATAGAAACAGAGCTTGTCTGTCTGTGCGAGGTTAGTACTAGGGGCAAAAGTGTGTAGTTAGGGTTTAATTTATCCTTAAAGTAAGGTTGGGGGTGGGAGCTTGGTGCAGGCATCAGCCTTAGGGCCCGTGCTCAGTTCAGTTCTGTCACTGAAACTGGATGTTACAGCTTGTACCTAGTGGTCCCCCCAAAGCCTCATGCAGTCACGGGGGCTTTTTGAGAGGTGGCTGGCTCTGGAATGTGTGGCCTTCGAACTGACTCATGGTGCAGTGCTAGGCTCAAGGGCACTAGGATTAAGAGTGTGAGTGCTGCCTGCTCTAAGTAGCGGGATGAGATATAAGGGTCAGGGAGAGCTGTGGATGTCCCTTGCTTGCTTGATTTTTCTGCCTTCTGTCTGCCATTGACTATTTCTCCTCTGCAGTTCCCCTCTGCCATGCCACCTGGCCTTGGAGCCAGCTGATTATGGAATGAAACCTCTAAAAACTATGAAGTAAATAAATCTTTCTTCCTTTAACTTTGGGTGTCAGGTATTTGGTCTCAGCCATGAGAGAAAAGTGCTAAGACACCTGAACGCTAGGGTCGTGTTCCCCCAGTGATGAAGAATGAAACCACAGGTGGAGTAGATAGGGTGTAAGCAAATGTATTTAGAAGATCTAAAGGCAAGGAAGTAAAGCTCCTGCTAGCCGGGAGAGGGTCCTGAGCAGGATACCCATAGAGCCTCTCTGTCTAGGGGTTTAGAAGGGAGCTTGGGCCATTGCACAAGCGATGTGCTTTCTACCCCGTAAGATACCACATGCTTTTCAGGGACTGATCTGTGCAGTGCTCACGCAGTGCCATGCAGGGCCCGGTGCCCTTCAGCCAGTGGCTGGCTGGTCACTCTCGGGAGGTTCCAGACAGCCAGAAGATGCCCACCAGATGTTTTTGGGCTTCTCGATTCCATTTTGGGGCTGCTGTCCTTACTGCCTAATAGAATCCTCGCTGCTCTTTCACTGATTCCTGTCTGACGACCAGTTATTAAGTATCGACTGTGAATTTGTCTGCAGAATAACTGTTTAAAGGCTGAGACTATTGACAATTTGGGCACTGGATAAGGGAATAATTTGAGGGAAGAGGTCAGGTTTCAGTTTCCCACATTATCAGACCTATTTTGATTTGATGAACTGTGCTTCCGTCTCTCGAATGGGACGAACGAACTTAGACTTGCCACCTGGTCTTGTACAATTAACTTTCATGGGAATACAGCCGCATATTTGCTGTGGTTGCTTATGCACCATGGTGAGAGTTGAGTACTCGGGACAGAGACTGAAAACCTACCCATCCTAAAATACTCTCTGGCCCTTGGAGAGAAGATGTGCCCATTCTTGCTGCAGAGAAGTGGTGGACCAGTGTTACCTCACATTCGCCACAAACAGCCATGATGGAGGAGCTCCCTTCCAGGGTAGTGTGTGATGTGCTTAGCAGGAGATATTCCTGGTGCTGAAAGTGCCCCCGGAGCCACGGAAGAGCTTGGGAGAGCAGCGAGAAGACGTCGGTGCTGCCTTCACTGAGGAGATAGCAACCAGCCCCAGAGAAATAATGAGCAGGCTTGTGCTAGCAGACAGCAGTCAGCAGGAAGTCCAGGTAGATGAGGCAGCAGGCACGGAACTCAGAGGAGTGGACTGCATGCCCGAGAAAAGAAGGAAGGTGGTGGATGTTTCTGGAAAATAATGTCCAGAGTGGAGCGTGGTTGGCATCAGATGAGGGTGGCAATGGCCCTTGAGTGCTGCAGGCCTTCCCGAGTCCTGGGTGTCGAGGAGCTTGTGGCATGCTTGTTGGATGCAGGGTTTGGATGGTGTTGGATAGGAAGAGCTTCTAGGGGGATGGCCTTTCTCTGTTGCCCTAATATGGTATCTGATTTCTTTAATCCAGCAAATCTGCATTGATTTCTGTGGATTGGTTGTTGTGATAGATGCTAGGATACAAAGCCGAGAAGGACACAGTCTCTGTGTTCTGGTGACTCGGTGTCTGATGGGGGTGTGCAGTTTGTCACACTTGCTGTGACATAGGGAGGGATGGGGGAGAAGGTGGCTGGGTGCCTGAAGTAGGGGGCACAGGCTTCCCAGACGAAGAGGTCATGCTAGGCAGAGTGGAGCCTGTGTGAAGACCCAGGTACTCCTGGAGCAGAGCCCTGAGTGCCATCTGGAGACTATGGTGCTGCTCCAAAGCTGGACGTCAAGATTGTGGCAGATGTCAGACTCCAAGCACAGATCAGATAGAACTGAGGGGTGCCTGTGCCTGGGAAGGAAGGAAGAAATGAAGGAAGGAGGGAAGAAGAAAAACAGAAGTGGAAGGAAAGTCAAGCCAGGTTGTAGGCTCTGTCCTGTCCTGCCCACCTTTCAAGCCTGTACAGACATTTGGACAGGGTTGCCTTGGCTAGACCAGGCCACCGAATTAGAAGCTTGGCCTTTCTTCCAGGCCTTAAATCCCAAACACCACTAGAGCCAGGTGTGCGGGTGCACTCCTATAATTCCAGCCACTTGGGAGGCTGAGGGAGGAGGATTGCCATGCTTGAGGCCAGCCTGGGCAACTTAGCAAGAGCTTTTCTTAAACAAGACAAAATTACACTGCTCTTTTTTCAGGACTTGTTCCCTTTTCTGCTACCTATCTGCCAAGCTCAGTAAATGTCTTACCTTTTCCTATACCCCTTAGCTCACAATCTCCTCTCCTGCTATGGACAGGTCCTTTCCTTTCTGCAGCTGTTTGTCGTTCCTGCCCTTCTTTCAGCAGCTTTTAGGTTTTGGAAGGAGTTAGCTTCCTAGAATTCCCTGGAAAGTACAAGGCAGTCCTTGCTGGTCACAGGAAGAGCACTGTTATGTAAACATGTACTCTTTCCCCCAAGGGACAATGGCTTCCCTGTCAAGGCAGAAGATGCCTGCCTCACCTTCCCTAACGTGTGCTTGCCACGCCCTTTGTACTGCCCATTTTGCTTAGGTTTTGTGTGTGCCCCATAAATCTCTCAGATGAGTGAATCCATGTTGTAATTGTCCTCAGAGGGCTTCCCCTTTTACTTTGGGAATAAATGAGTTAACCAGAATGTATGAACATCACTTAGTCTGTGGACTCTGGAGTCGCCTAGATTAACGTTCTTCTGTTTGCTTTCTAGTTTGAACCATCCAGCCCCAGCCACAGGTCCAGCGGGAGTTTAGGAACCCAACTCTTTATCTCATTAGTTTAATCCTTCTGAATCTTTTTGTTTATTTGTTTGGGTTAAGACCTTGAGCAACATTTTTGATTTTTGATTTTTGAGACAGAGTCTCCCTGTGTAACCCTGGCTGACTTTGAACTTGCAGTGATCCTCCTGCCTCAGCCTCGTGAGTGCTGGGATTATAGACATGCACCACCATGCTCAGCTTGCTTATGTTCTCCTTAAGCAAGTAGAAGATTGGAGGTGAACATGAGAGCGTTCAGGCAGAGGCCTCTGGAGGCTGCCGCAGCCCCTGTACTCTAGGTGCCTATAGTTAGCATGCTCAGGTTTGACTCGGATGCTTTTCTCATTGCGGAAACTCAGGCTGGTTAGGGACGTAGAGACCCATGCTGCCATTTCACCAGAGTTACTTCCTTCTCCTGGATGTGAGTGTGTGCCGTGAGTCAGCCGTCACTTGTACACCAGTGTGGGTTGTGAGACAGTGGCTCTGAGGTGATAGTGTCGGGAGAGATAGCCACAGTCTAAGTGAGGCTTGGAGGTTCTGCTAGGCCAGATGGACTCCCAAGGCCTGTGTGCAATTATTTTTAATTTTCTGATAATTACATTTAGAAATGCTCGTGGGCCGTTCAAATGAAACGCAAGCCGGGAATAAAACCCCTAAGTTCTTTAGCTGTTCAGAACGCTGGTGACGCAGCACTAGGGGTTGGCTAGGAGTAGCTGAAGGAGTATTTGCCAATTGTTGCCTACAGGGAGAAAGGGTTAAAGCGTGTGGTCTGGGGTCCCACAGGCTTTGTGGGAAGATGTGGGAGGGAAAAGTGGCCCTGTGGTCAGAGCCACAAGTACCAAGCACAGGAGCGAAGTCAAGGTCACACAGAGGATGGGAGCTCATGGAGGAAGTGGGAAGAAAGGCAGAAGGTGGGGTGGGTGGCAGTGGGAGGGAGCGTGTGGGAGCATTGGTTTGGGCAGGGTCCAGGCTGAGGTCCAGGTGGAGCTCCGGGCTGGGTGGCCTCTGCCCGCCCAGGTACACGGCGCTGACCCAGGCGCTGTGTCATTGCTTGTGTTACCAACTTTGCCTGGGACCATCTCCTGGCAAAGTGCCGGCTGGCTGTTGGTTCATTTATTTGAATTCATGATGATCATGG